CCCGGAAGCTAGCAACCCTTCCCCCTCTCCAAAGGAGCGTGGCCTCGCTTCGGAAGGCTCTCTGATGCCTACAACGGCAAGATTAATACGCGAAAAGGGAAAATTCCTCCTCAAATAAAGGAAGGGAAAGGATAAAATAGCACAACACGCACCGTGATGTTTTGCTTTCCTTCTTCCCCGGGACAAAGCTCGCCACTTGCGCTCATCACGATTTGAGTGGGTCGCCAACTTTCGAACCCAACCCGGCAGATCTGGAACGTCGCCCGACGCCTATGAAACCGCTGCAGAAAAATAAAAGAAGGCACGGTTACGAAACCAGCTTCCGTCATAAACAAAACTAAGAAGGCACGAAATGTACCACTTATGTGCATAATTCCATTCCCCAGGGAATGGCATAAACTCCACGGGGATAACTTCAGCGGTTCGAACTCGGACGAATTGACTCATCCATTCCGATCTCCTTCTTCTTCATCGTCGACAACAAAGGGCGTGGTCGACCGGCATCGCAAGGTTAGCAGACCTCGATGGTGAAAGGGCCGATAAAGCCTAATAAGATGACTGAGCGTGAATTCATGACTCGCCTTCTCCGCAAAAAATCTCATCATCAACACTATTCGCCAAAATGACGGGTGGATCTGCGCCAAGGTAACTCGATACTTTAAACAGAAGTCAAGATCAATCCTATCAAGGGGCCTAGTGTGAAAGGATACGTGTACACATTCAAGAATCCATCGGCACAATCCGTGATTCCCTCATCCGGGGAAAGTATCTGTAACACTGCTTTCTCCCCCCAACCGTAGTTTTTTCTCACTAACCCAATATGCTCTTCTCCTATCAAAGAAGTAATCTTCAAGGTATGCTCTCGTTGGTCCCGAATACCGGAGGCGGAGCTCTCCCCTATCTGCCTGACAAACCCCGATGTAACAGTCATGGCGACGGCAAACTCAGAGTACTAAAGCAAGGAGTCGGTGCGAGTACGCTGATACTGAAATGATGAAAGGCTTAACGCTGGAAAAGAAGGGTAACTACTTAGAGGGGTGGGATCTCCAAAAGAGAAAAAACAACCCTATATATATATATATATATATATATATGAAACGGCGACGGTCCGCCAACCTCAAGAGCCAATCAAAAAAACACTGACCGATATCGCTTCGGGAAGATACGCTGGCGTAATCACCTCGATAGCTTTGCAGCCATATCATACATTAGGCGACGCATGTAATGTCTCGAGAACGGAGATCCCCGTACAACTGCGAGTCCCGAGGCGGTACCCAACCTCGAGGACCTCCATCAAAGGGAAGTTAGGCTCCAAGAGGCCAAAGTAATCATCGCCAGTCCCGAGGTGGTACCCGACATCGAGGACCTCCATCAAAGGGAAGTTAGGCTCCAGGAAGCCAACAACATCCTCACCAGTCCCGAGGTAGTACCCGACCTCGAGGACCTCCATCGAAAAGAAGTTAGGCTCTAAGGAGCCAACAGCATCACCGCAAGTCCCGAGGTGGTACCCGACCTCGAGGACCTCTATCGAAAAGAAGTTAGGCTCTAAGGAGCCAACGGCATCACCGCAAGTCTTGAGGTGGTACCTGACCTCGCGGACCTCCATCAAAAGGAAGTTAGGCTCTAAGGAAATAAGCATTTAAGCTCCGCCCATATGGGCTTGATCACGGGGTACCACCTAAATTCGGGTAAGACCTCGTTCTGGATCTACCTGTGACACCTTAAGGATATTTACGATAAGATCAAAACAAACTTCCAAATGGCCCGAGTCTGAGCAAACCCCACTCGGGGACTATTCTCGAAAGTCCAAAAATAGCCTATATTCTCGGGTTCCCAAGCGAATTCCCCCTCAAAGATTATTGCAAGGCCTAAAAACTGATCTCAAAAGTCTAAAGGTTCGAAGCGTTATTTCCATTCAACCAGAAGTAAGGGTCCCGACTACCCGAGTTTATCGGTCCAATCCAGGCTTGGTCCGAGGAAAGGCAAAGGGTTCCACGGGGAGCTGTATTAATCAATCAAAGGCCAGAGAAATATACTTCCACCTAGGCTCGATATCGACACCGACCGGTGGGATCATGCATTCAGAGTTTTCATATGTGCAAGTAAAAGGTAACATAGCAAACATCAGAGACAAAATTGGGGAAACATCTTTGTATTCATGAACACTTGGTTACAAAAGCCCACAAAGGGGTCCTTACATATGATTATAAAAGCCCACAAAGGGTCCTCACACAGAAACAAAGAAGCGAAAAGGTACACGTATAGTAAAAGCCTAGAGCCTAGCCTACTCTCAAAGGTGCTTCCTCGGCAGCCGCATCTTCGAGCATCATCTCCTCGGGCATGCATCCTCGGCGGCAGTGTCTTCGACCGCCATCTCCTCTAGGACCTCATCTCGGTCCTCCAGAGTAATATCTCCCAGGGCGAAGATGAAAAAGAGGAAAATGAGGAGAGGAAGAAGATGAAAGTGAGGCGGAAGAAGCAGAAAAAAGAGACGTAGCCCGCCGAAGCCAAAGGTTGAAGACTCGGCCGCTCCAAGTCCCCCTTCTGGGACATAGTGTCGTGCAAGTTTAACGGCCGGTAGTGCCATTTTATCCCTTGGAAAACCCAGAGGATGAAGTGCCACACCAGGCCAGGGTAGGAGAGTGAGCAGCAATGTATAGTCCGAACGCTCTCCCGAGCAGCGGTGTAAGGGTCCGAACGTCCCCTAAGTTGGAAGAAGTCGGCCCCCCTATCTCATCACCTCGAACCAACGACGACAGCAGTAACAACCGAAACAACAGCAACAACAGCGACAAGACAATGTAATCTCGCTCGACAAGGGAAAGCCCAGGCAAAAGGCCATGGCGTGGCTGATGAGAACGCTGCCATATAACCTTAAGGCCATAGACCTCAAACATGGTGGCTAGCAATGGAGGAGAACAGTGGGGAGAAAGGGATGAAAAGAGGTTGAAAGGCACTTGGACAGAGAGATAGTGCCGGAAGGCCCCCATTTATAAGGGGTGATAATATGGCCAACGATACTATCAATGCCTTTGAAAGACGGATCCGCAGACGCAATCAATGCGTTATTGAAAACCAAGTCGACGACGATACTGTTGCTTTGAAGAATGGGAATCGGCAACGCATTAAATGACGCTGAAAAGACAAGTCCATGGGACGTCCCGGTTATCGTGAAGGCTTACATCATAAGATGATATCATCGGTATGACATCATCGCGGGAAGTCCGAAGAGTTGGATGTCAAAATCGTTTCTTATCACTCCTCTCTAAGAAACGCGGGGACTATCTGTATACGATGAAATCGGAAGGTCCAATTCCTAGTCATTAAGGCACTCGGAAGATCACCTCAAAGGCTCGAGGCCGCGGGACCACCTCGAAGGCTCGAGGCTGCGGCCGAGTATTTTTCCTCGAGGGTCGACAACACTCGACCCCAGGGTAGTAATGATCATGGTAATGGTGGAAATGGGGAGTTCCCAAGGCACGCGACTAGGTCTGACACAGTCTAAGCGGGCTACTCTGAACCCAAATTAGGGCGTCATTCGGCCGTCCCATCCCCATATCTATGTAATTAATGTATTTTGTACTACGTGGGATTTCCCTCCTATATAAAGGGAGTCCTTGTCATTTTGTAAGGGTCTGTTGCTTCAGCTGCTCCATAAGAAATATAAGACAACATTCTCTCTGCTCTCCTACATATTCTCTTGACATTATTGTTCCCATTTATTATCTTCATTATTGTTCATCATTTATTGCTTATCATTGGCCATAAAAAGCCTTCTTTGATTTTATTATAACTGTTAGTCATACTCGATTACTTTCGATGGCTCACTCGAGCCCTGGAATTGACCTCGAGGGCCCCGAATCGACAAGCTCGAGGCCAGATTGCTGACCTATCGGTTTGACCATCACCTTATCCTTAGCTCTTATTTCGTTTCTAAGTCTCACATACATAGCATCAACTACTTAACAACCGGCATAAAAATAGATTACGTATTTTTAGAGTCCCATAATCAAATTTAATTGTTGTTACCATTTTTACGGTAAACACCAGTAACACAAAGTTTTATCACCGGAAAGTAGGGGAACTATCTGTATAGGGTAAAACTGGTTAGCGATAGTTGGAGAATGACGAGATGACACGTGGAACTAAAGACAAATAAGATGCGATTAAGTAAATAGTTGGCACTGGATACAAATATATGATCGGTGCTGAGTGAGTTCCGAAGGCATTGAAATCGAGAACAAAGATTTGAAAGGAAGACGTCGGTTGGGAAATAGTAACCGTTACAAAGAATCTATGTATTAATAACCCACCGTTATGCGACCATCAATGGCGGTTTTATTCTTATTCAAGAGGAGCTTGATTTGGGGATCTTGTCTCTCTAAATAGAGCTATAAATAGGAGAATTAGTATCCATTGTAAGACATAAAAAACTATCTATACGCAAAGGCTATAATTTGTTCTCATATTACAAAATTTCTCGCTTGTTTTTGTTTGTAATATTGCTCATATTATTGCTTCCGGAGAAGCTCATCATACTACCAGGCTTGTAATTCTCTTTAGTTATTTTATATTCTTCACTTTATTCTTATTTATTTCATATTTTTGGATCAAGTTAATTCACGTGTCTATAAACCACGTTATAAATTCAAATATAATGTTTTACGGGTAAACATGAAGTCATTTTTCTTGCAATTACATTAACTTAAATTTAATATCACTTTTCCTACCAACACCTAGACGATATTATCAAATTTAATACTCAAAATTTTCGTTGAAGAACTATCTAATTATTTAAAATTATTTATCAGAAAATATTTCTTAGAAGAATACATACTACTATCATGAAAATGTTCGGAAGAAATAGAAATTGAGGAGACTGAGGGGTCGTGAGAAAGTAAACTGTAAAAGGTAAGATGGGGAAATGACGGGTCCACTAGTTATATAAAGCGTGGAGTCACCGCATTTCTCTGTTTATGAAAGTTTTTGCCTGTTTACCGCCCCCTCAATCGGCCAAAAAATAATACAGCCATGCAAAGCAACAACTTTACTTCTTCAAGCAGTAACAACAGTTGTTTCTTCACATTTCACCAATCAGTTTAACCGTCATGTCATTGTTCCCTATCTTTGTCCCCCTTTACTCTTTCCATTTCCCCTTTTCCCCTACCTTTCAAATTAATTTCCCCTCTTCTCTTCTCTTCTTTCTTTGAGTTTCACAGTACAAGAACTTGAAAGCAAAATCGCTATTTCTTGAACATTGGGAGATGAAAACAGGGGTATCAAGAAGCTGGATATTGGTGGACAGTAAGGGGGAGAGTAGTATCTTGGATTTGGATAAGTATGCTATTATGAAACGAGTTCCTATACATGCTAGAGATCTTCGTATTCTTGATCCTCTTCTTTCTTATCCTTCTGCAATTTTAGGCAGAGAAAAGGCTATTGTACTCAATTTGGAGGTGAACTTCTTTTTAATTGCTTTCTCTGTTTTTTGTTACTATGATTTGCAGCAATCTAATTCTTGTTCTTTTGTTTGGCTGTTTGTTCACTAACTTCAGCATATCAAAGCAATTATTACTACAGATGAGGTGAATTTCTTTTGCTTTCTACATTGTATACCAGAGTTTGAGTTGGTGATTATTTCGGATAAGATATACTCCCTCCGTTCCAACTTATGTGAACCTGTTTGACTGGCCACGGAGTTTAAGAAAAAATAAGACTTTTGGAATTTGTGGTCTTAAACAAGTCAAAAAGGAGCCCAGAGTATTTGTGTGGTTATAAAAGCTTCTTAATTAAGGTAGAATTGGAAGTTTAAGTTAAATTGTTTCCAAATTTAGAAAGAGGTCATTCTTTTTGGAACAGACCAAAAAGGAAATAGGTTCACATAAACTGGAACGGAGGGAGTAAGTTATATCTGTGATTTAAGTTGTAGCATGTTACCTACCACTACCAAGTTACTAATTTCACTTATGAATAGTTACCTGTAATTATTTTTTCGGTGCGGAAATGCTTAATGTTGTCAATGTATAGAACTTAAACTCCAGATATATGATTATTGGCAGTCAATTTATTGCTTCCTTGGTTTCCAATAATAGATGAATACCCCATTATTTTGTGTGGTTTACTGATTGAAGTAGGTATTGCTTCGTGACCCGCTGGATGATAATGTAGCTCCCGTTGTTGAAGAACTTCAAAGAAGATTGCCATTGCCTGCTATTGGCTTTGGAGAAGGTGAAGATGATGACCAACCAGCTGTTAATGGAACACAAAATGAAATGCAAACCGTTGAACCTACTGGTATGCACCTGAAATGCGAACCGTTGATTACTATGTCTACTTTTTACACACAAGCGTTAGGGGTTGCTCATATTCAGTTCCTAACTAGTAATTTTTTTTGTGGATATGATACAGAGTTTCCATTTGAGTTTCGAGCTTTAGAAGTAGCACTAGAAGGTGTATGCAGTTATCTTGACACTCAGACACGAGAATTAGAGACCGCTGCTTACCCAGCTTTAGATGAGCTCACCTCCAAGGTAAGATTAGTAATCCAAATACAAAATGTATGCCTTATTGGAATAATTATTTAACAAGGTCACTTAAATGCTTAGTGCAACTAAGTGTCTACACTAAGTATGCGTTAACTAAACTGAAAAGAGCGTGATAACTCTTTTGTATTGAGTGATTCTTATTATTGTTAATCTGCCTTCGATGAGATGGTCTGCTGCTCCCTAAAGTATTTTCTAAGGGCTACGGTCGAATGTCCAACAAGCTTCTTTTGTTCTATAGGTTGACAGGTTGTGTATGATAATTTGGTCACTCTTTTCTTCCAAAAGCATTGGATTACCACTACTTTGAGCATTCTCCCACTTGTCTATGACTTTTACTTGGAGAATGGAAGAGACAAAGGGGTGGGGGAAAAGCTTAGTTCTTGCGAAGATCCCTTAAGCATTGACTTCAAAACGAATGTTCGGAAACAAAAATAGGAATACTGGAGTCTTTGTTGGCAAACAATCACTTGTTGATGGCGGTGGTATTAAGGATGTTTTAGGCGAAAAACTTGCAATCTGAGGATTTATATTTACTGCAAGGCAGAATTAGGCCCATTGCAGTTGTAAGAATTATCCATAGTACGTATATATAGTGGCATCTGACTATACCACCAATCTACCTCGCCGTCTTCATCAACTAAGATTAGTTCCATTAACAGGAGGTACTGTTATACGACCTAGCTCTTTATTGGCAAAATATTTTTTCCTCAACGGTTGATTTCATCCCTAGCAAGAATGCAAAATTAGGGAAACCATTGTTTATTTAATTTACTTGATAGCATTTTTGGTTTGATATGTCTCTGTTGGGCATGTATGCTAGCTTTTTCTTCTTGCAATAAATATATCAGCTAACTTTTCTCCCTTGGTATATTATTCCCTCAAAGTTCTCCTGCAATACATACATTATTTATATGCCGAGTGTTAGATCAGTTTGTTTCTCGAGTGCCTTTTTTTTCATTTGTGAAACACTTCACTTATTTGCAGATTAGTAGTCGTAACTTGGATCGAGTGCGCAAATTGAAGAGCGCAATGACTAGGTTGACCAGCCGGGTTCAAAAAGTATGTGTATCTCTCTCTCACATACTATGTCCCTTAACGTACCAAGATATTATAGTCTATGCAATAATTTATACACTAGAAATTAGTTGTCTCTACAGGAAATAGACTGGATGAGTATAAATGGAGCAACGTGAACATGTAGGATTCATATAGCCAACCCCTACCTGCTTGGAATTGAGGGGCTGTTGTTTTTGTTGTTGTTTCTGCAAGAACAAGATTGAGTTTATTTGGAGTGGAAAAATGGGCACAGCTAAAAGCCTATATTTTTCTTTATGCACGTTCCATTAACTTAATTGACTCCTAACTTATGCCAAACTCTAGGTCAGGGATGATCTTGAACAACTTCTTGAAGATGATGATGACATGGCTGACCTTTACCTCTCAAGAAAAGTTGCCGGAGCTTCTTCCCCGCTTAGTGGCCAGGGGGCACTTTACTGGTCCCCTGATTCTCCAAAGTTATTGTCCAAAACAAGCAAGATCAGTGGACTAACTCAGGAGGAGACTGATGTTGAGGAACTTGAGATGTTGCTTGAGGTTAGTATTATCAGAAATTTTGGAAATAATCACGACATACATGTGTTGATAAAACTGCATATTTCTGCAGGCTTACTTTGTACAAATTGAAAGCACGATGAACAAGTTGAGAACGGTAAGAAACTGCATAGACCATGCAGGAACTTGATGCCCTTAAACATACATAAAAACGAAATATATAATGAACTCATTTGGAACTAAATAGTGACACTGGTGTTCCTTTATCCAGTTGCGGGAATATATTGATGACACCGAGGACTATATCAATATTCAGGTTACTCATTCCTGATTTAACTTGTTTATTAATACCAAGACTTTCTGGTTTTTGGAAATAAAAATTTAAAAATTAGTTTCCTTGTTGCAGCTGGACAATCATCGAAATCAGCTGATCCAGGTACTGTCTTGTTAACACATGCCTAGTACGGCATCCATTCCACTCTATTAAGACAGTACTACTCATACGATCTGTTGAAATTATTATCCTACATTTTGTTACTTCTCCACTTGAATTAGCAAATAAATGGCAATTCTTTTGTGACTGATACCGCAGCTGGAGCTGTTCCTGAGTTCTGGTACAGTTTGTTTGACAGTGTACTCTTTGGTGGCTGCAATATTTGGAATGAACATTCCATATCCATGGAGGAAAGACCATGGTTATATTTTCAAATGGGTGCGCACACTCGACCAATTCCTTTCCTTTTTGCAGTATATTATGTCAGTGTATAGAAATTGAACTATAATATGAAACGTTTCCAATTCCGCACTTGGAGTGTTCTTTTTGTTTTAAACGGTTACATTAATGCAGGTGGTCATGCTTGCTGGAATTGCTTCTGCATCCATCTTCCTATCAATAATTTCATACGCTCGGCACAAGGGACTTGTTGGATCTTGAATTCTTGCTCACTCCTATATATATATATATATTATACTGCACCTACATATCAACGTGTTCAGATTTCTTGATTACGACTTCAAGGGGGCCGAGGCACAACTGAAGACAAGAGTTTAAGGGTTTAAAAAAATGTAAAAATATCACAGTTGAGAGTTGAACCTATTACCTAAGACATTTTTGTAACCTCCTTTTTCCACTGTGATAGAAGTTAGCTAGTCTTGTATTGATGAGTTCAACAATCAAAATATAGCAACAAAAAAATAAAATCAACCTGTGGACATGTAAGTAGGGGTGGCGATTTGAGCCTAAATCCGCCCAACTCGCCCAGAGATTAATGGGTTGGGCTATAAATGTTTTAGCTCATGGTCTATTTGAGTTGAGCCCAAGTTAACCCATTACTTTTTATAGTCCATTCTGACCTATGAAGTAGTCCAAATACAACTTATGATGTTCACCCAAAACAAAGGGATTTCAACTCAACTTATCTAAAAATTTACTTAGTTGCCCCAATTTTACTTTTTTTTTTTTATTTTTTTTTTTAAATTTCTGTCTTTTCATCACCCTAACCCCCACCCCACCCTAACCACTCACACCCCCCCTCAATTTTTTTTTTTTTTTACTTTTTTTTTGTATTTTCAATTTTCTGTTTTATATTTTTTCGTTTTTCTGCACCACCCACCCACCCCAACCCCCCATCCCCTACCAGCAAAATATTTTTCAACTTACACTTTTTAAATACTAATTTGTTATTTAAGAAAAATATATTTTGATTCTCAAAATACTAATAGTATTATTTACCTTTTACACATAGGTGTATAAAAGGTAAAATGATTTGTTTATGTAAGATGAGCATGATGCTAACACATGGGTCAAGTTGAGCGAGTTGGGCTATGACCCATTGTTTAGCCCATCTTGACCCAGCCCATCTTAGCCAAAGTACACTTTGGGATGGGTTGGGCAATGAGCCATTTATTAACCTAACCCATCTGACCCCCCAAATTAAGCCCAACCCACTCATTTGCCACCCTATATGTAAGGTTTCATATTAGTGAATACGGATACAGTTACATCTATAGGTGAAAAAATGGTTAAAAGAAAATAGTTATCCACCCATATTATCCATTATGAAATGGGTTGGATAATGAACTTTTTAAAACGGGTCGAATATGGATAAGAACCATATTATCAACTTAGAAAATGGTTAACCAAATGGATAACTAATGTGTTTAACTTTTACATTTGTTAAGCCTCAAATTGGGGATTCCTCAAGTTTGAGAGACTAGGAATTTTCCCATAAGTGATCATATTCAAGAAGCCATGGATAATATGGATATCCATATTATCCGCCGGATAACCCGTTTTTTATCCATCTCAAATACGGGTCAGGTCGGATAATTTATCTATTTTTTGAATTACCCATTTTTGACCCGCTCATATCTGACCTGACCCGTCAGTTTGCCACCCCTAGTTACATCCACAACTTTTTGAAATGAGTGTGAACTTAATGTATGTATATGTATTTGAAAAAATGTAACTATATATATATATATATATATATATATATATATATATATATATATATATATATATATATATATATGGGGTAAAATAGGTTTATTACGGATGGCCGAATGATAACATGACACGTGGAGCCGAAGATAGGCGACGTGCAAGTCAGGGAACAACCAATACCGGATACAACGAATGCAATCGATATCAGGTAAATCCCTAAGGGATCAAAGTCGACGGGAGAAGGTAAAGGATTTGCCATCGGATAACGTTCAATGAGTGAATATTCACTAACATTAATGAGCGATCGTTGTAGAGAATATTAGCATTCATAGTTTGCCGTTACACGTTCATCAATGACTCTTCATCTAAGAGGAGCTTGATCCTAGGATCTTGTTTCCCTAGGTAAAGTAAAACTATAAATCGCAGGCTCACCGACCATTATAAAGACATGAAACTTTCTGCATACTAAAGCTTTATTTTACTACTTTTGCTCTCAATTTAATAACTTTAATTGCACTTTATCATTATTCTCACTTTTGCTCTCGGAGAGACTACGACCGGAGCCAGGCTCGTTATCTTCTTCAATTTCAATTGCTAATATTAATATTAATCTTGTTTCTTTTATCATTTTTTAGATCAAATCAATTCGCTTGTCTATAAACCACGTAATAAATTTAAATGTACCGTTTTGCATGTAAACAGTTTGGCGATCACAGTGGGGCATAGACAGCTGCACAATTGCTTTGATTCATTCATTTATTACTAACTTGTTTTGATTCTTTCTTTAGTAGAAAACTAGATATGGCAGCCAATAATGTCAAGATCTAGGGACGCTGCATTTCATGCCCACAGATGCTAGTAAGAATTGATGGATAATTGATTGAAGATCACTCCCCCACTCTAAGCACTCTCTCTCTCTCTCACTCTATAAGCATCAGGTTTTGCAAGAAAAATGGTCCATAATGCTTACATAACGAGATTGGGCCAGGTTATAAAATTTAGAAAAATAGGAGCCTGACACAGATTTGTGGTCGCATATGTGACCGCATAATGCTTCTACGGTCCGCATAATTGGCCCTCCAGAGCTGATATTTTCTGCTTCAGCCTGCGGTTCGCAGACCTGTCATGCGCTCGCATAATGAGCCGCAGAACAACCATCTGAAAAATCTCAAGGTTGAGATATGCAATAAGAGTGCGGCCTGTGAAAGGGTTCTGCGGTCGCTTAATGGGCCGTAAAAATGACATCAAAAATGGCCCAAAAGACTACCTCACTCTACGGCCATTCTGTGGCCCGTAGAGTGATTATGCAACCGCATAAAAAATCATTGAAGATTAACAAGGAGGAATTCACTAAGTCTTCATCCTAGAGGTAAGAATCTATACCCTAGCCCTTAATTTCGAAAATTAACTAAAAATGGGTAATTAGCAAGACCATTCTTGGGTGTGGGAGTTGTTTATCTTGCATGTATGTGTGATAAAAGAGTGTAGAAAAATTGTGAGCTATGGGTAAAGAATGGGTTGTGGGATGATGATGTCTTTCATAAAAGGACCTTGAAAACCTTAATGCACACTTGGTGTTTGATAAAATGCTCAAATGAGCTAGAACTACGATCATTTCCCTAATTTTAGTTTATTTTGTTATATTTCTAAAATAGATTGGTGTTGCTAAGATTCCCGGAATATTTAAAGTGTAAAGGAGCTCAATTAAGGTATGTATGACTAAACTCTTCTCTTAGAATTGAACCCCCAAATATCCATGTAAGTGCCGAGTTACTCACTATGAGTCGAACATTCCGAATAAGCTTGTGCAAAAGATATCCATGTTCAATATGCAATTCAAATGCTCTTGTTATGTTATAATCTTATTTGAAGAATGTGTTCAAAGTATGGGTTGCATGTTTAAATGCCTTGACATGAAGTTGTGTTTTTAGTGAAAGCTAATGACAATTCTGTAAGAAATCTCAATGTACCTAAAACTCTCAGTTGCTCATATGTGTGCTTACATGTTATGAAAGAAATGCCTTGTTGTTGAAAATCTATGATGATTGTTGAAAGCAAAATACGAGATATGAGATATAAAGCGAGGAATACTAAAAGTGAATTATGAAATGTGAAATATGAAATACGGCCAACGTGCCAAGTGAAATAATATAATTGTGGTTGATGTCTCTTACGAGATGGCCTAGCCGATCGGGTCGTGATCGGACGCCATGCCATACACATGGCGGTGGCTCTATTGGAAATTGTAATTGAAATTGCAACTGTGGTTGATGTCTCTTATGAGATGGCCTAGCCGATCGGGTCATGATCGAACGCCATGACGTACACATGGTGGTGACTTTATTGGAAAACTGTAACTGAAATCGTGATTGTGGTTTATGTCTCATATGAGATGGCCTAGCCGATCGGGTCGTGATTGGACGCCATACCGTACACAAGGTGGTGACTATATTGGGAATTAAAATCGAAGTGGTAAATAGTGGCATATTGGTACTAAAGACTTCCCTGACTTAAAATGTGGAAAATTTAATTGGAAACTTATCTTATCCCTTGTTTGATGTTTGGTAAATGTTTAATGTTTTAACTGATATTATGATTGTTCTTACTTGCATTATTGTTCATTCTATTGAGGTGGTGTTTAGTTATACATACTAGTACTATTCGACGGTACTAACGTCCCTTTTGCCGGGGGCGCTGCATTTTTAAACGGATGGAGGTGGTTCCACAGCAGGTAGCGTTGATCAGTGATAGCGGTACATCCTCCTCCCAGCAGTCTTGGTGAGCCCCATTTCATTTCGGGGTTATGCATCTTTTGTTCCTTATGTATTATACTTGAGGTATAGTCGAGGCCTTGTTGCCGGCACTTTTGTTGTACTCTTTTGTATTGATTAGAGGCTCCGTAGACATAGTGTGGGTTGTATATGGGTGCTGGAAAAGTCAGACGAAACATTGTTGTGTTTGAATCATCTATTCCACTTCAAACTATGAAAAATGTGTATATTTTGAGACTTTAAGATGAAGTAACTAATGAAATGATGTAGTATTTTATACATGATTTCCCTATTATCTAAATTAATGGAAATATGTCCTCTCTTTGTTCATGAGTGAGTTTGGGTGGAAGGAATCTAACAGGCTTGCTCAGCCGGGTTCACTCGGTTGACCTCCGTTCGCGTTGCCTAAGTTTGGGACGTGACAATAAGTGTTAAAGTCCAAGCAGAATTGTGCACCAACCAGCAGAACCCTTATATTTGGTGTTGTCCCCATGGCCATTCATGAAGTCGGGGATGAATTTCACTAAATAGGTTGAAGCAGGTCCTTACCAAAATATCAGTGAGCCCAAAGTGGTCAACTTCATATGGGACCACATAATTTGTCGATTCGGAATATTGGAGTAAATTGCTCGCGACAACGGGCCGCAGTTTGTAGGTTCAAACGTCACCAAATTTTTGGAAGGATTGAAAATCCAAAGAACTACATCTTCACCGTACCATCCAAGTGCTAAGGGACATGCGGAATCAACCACCAAGGTAATTATTTAGAACGTTAAAAAGAAGTTAGAAGATGCAAAAGGGCATGTGGCTCGATGAGCTACCGGGTGTGCTATGGGCATACCAGACAACGATGAAGTCAAGCACGAAAGAAACATCTTTCTCTCTCATGTATGGCACAAAATCTTTGATACTGGTAGAAGTGGGGGAGTGGGGGGGCTATTTTAAGGGTTTCCCAAACAAACGAGGATGAAAACAATGAAGCGTTGCTGGTGGGGCTGGACTTGCTCGACGAACGCAGGGAATTAGCATACGTGAGGATGGTGGCTCAAAAGCAAATGATGGAAATATATTATAATCGCAGGGCCATTCTCTGTTAC